CTCCTCCTCCTCCTCCTCCTCCTCCTCCTCCTCCTCCTCCTCCTCCTCCTGCCCTCTCCTCGGTCCTCCCTGCGCTCTTGGCGGTCGGGAGCGTCTGCTCCGCGTGTCGCGGCGGCGGTTCTGGCGACGCGCCGTGCCCTGCGAGCGGGCGGCGCGCCGCTCCGCTTCGCGGGGCGGGGGGCGGGCAGAGACTCGGAACGTTGACGCCTGGGGACTGGGCAGTGGGCAGCGTGCTGCGCCACAGCGCGGCAGGCCAAAGGGAAATGGATAGCGCGCTGCGCCACAGCGCGGCAGGCCAGAGGGACGAGGACAGCGTGCTGCGCCACAGCGCGGTGGGCCAGAACCGGCGGAGCGACACGCCGCCCACAGACTTCCGACCGTGACGCTGTCTGTTCGTGTTCCCCTCCAGCCGCATCCTGCTCGTGGCCCCTCCTCTGCGCACCCACTTCCGTTGTCCTCCCGCTTCTGTTCGCGCCCGCTCCCGCCTTTTCCAGCTCCTGCTCCCGCCTTCCCCTGCTTCTCCCTCCCGCTGCTTCTACTCCTCCTCATCCTTTTCCTCCTCCTCCTCCTCCTCCTCCTCCCCCTCCTCCTCCTCCTCCTCCTCCTCCTCCCCCTCCTCCTCCTCCCCTCCTCCTCCTCCTCCTCCTCCTCCTCCTCCTCCTCCTCCTCCTCCTCCTCCTCCTCCTCCTCCTCTTCCATCTCCTCCTCCTCCTTCTTCTCCTCCTCCTCCTCCTCGTCTACCCCCACCGCGCTTTCCGCGCCCCTCCGCTCCGACAGCGTGCAGGGGGCGCGGCGGGCGCGGCCGTGACTCTGCGTCGGAGGAGCACGCCATCGCGGGGCTGAGCGAGTTGCTTTGACTACCTACCAGACCACCCCAACCCAACCCGAAGACTCGAATTTCGGGTTGGGGGGGGTAAGGGTTCCACATGTGTTTTTTCGATGTTTCCCGACCCCCCCCCACTGGAAATCGAGGGTAAATCTGAGCCTTCGGGTTGGGTTGGGGTGGGTTGGTGGGTGGTGATGCTTGTGCCGCATGCACTCGGGGGGCTGAGGGGCAACAGCAGCGGGGGCGGCTCCTGGTTCGTCCGTGGCCGAAGGTGCAGACGACGGGGTGCTCGGCACTCTGGGGGGCGCCCCCAGGCAGCGTCCGACCCGTTGCTCAAGCGCGTGCTCCAGACGCAAAGCACGGCTCCGCAGAGGCAAGCCGTCGATGCCGCGGCCGCGCAGCCCGACGGGGCGCTGGCGAAGGCAGACGGTGCTGTGCGTGACGCTTCCCTGAAGCAGGACCACGATCGCGGCGTTGCAAAGGTGCCGCGAGAACCTGGCCCACGCTGAGAAGAAGAGGCACAGGCTGCGAGCGCCCTCGCAGCAGCCGAAGAGGCCGAACGAGTGGCCGCCCAGACTCTGATCCAAGCTCGGGGTCATCGAGCCGAGCCAGAGGTCAATCCCAAGGGCAGCGGCAGCGCGGACCGTCAGGGCGACGGGGCCGTTTTTGATATCATGCGGGACGGGCAACCTTTCTTGAACTTCGGCGGCATGGGGGCCGACGAGGGCGAGGAGACGGAGCTGCGCCGCCTCGCTGGCGCGCGGGACCAGCTGGCCACGCGCAACTCGGAAGTCGTCAACTGCCTCGCTCGGGTCGAGGCGATTCAGGCCCAAGTCACCAAGCGCCGTGCTAGTCATTGGAAAGGAGCTGACGGCGCGGCCGCGGCGCATGCTCCGAAGGCCCCGCCCGCCGCTGGCATCGATGGGGGGGCGCGACGGCATCGACGTCCCACTATCCGGCTCCGAGGTCGACTGTGTCCAGGCGCTTGCGGGACGCATCGGGGCCGCGGCCGCCAAGCATGGCCCAGCCAAGACGGCATCGGCAGCGGTCGCATGCAAAAGGTCGGCGTCCCAGCCGGCGATGGAAGTCGGCGGTTTCAGTGGAACGGCGGCGAGAAGCTACCCTATTCCCAGCATGTCCATTCCAGGAGACTAGAAGGATTCGCCCCCCCCCACCCCCCCCGCCCCCCCCCGCATTATCTCCAGACAGTCGAGGGGTCGCGACGTCGCCGGCGAGTCCCTCTTAATTCTGGGAAGCACAACTGCCGTGCGCAAGCGTGCTCGGGATTTCATCGCGGGGCCCTCGCGTCACACATTTATCTTCTTGGATCTCGTCGAGACCCATGCCGAGTCGGATGTTCGGTACTGGCGGGGTCAGGCCAGCGAAGCTCGCGTCCGGGCGACCGCCGGCTCAGACCAAGGCGCTGGGCGAGATCAGTCGGCTGCCACCAAGGACCGAGCTGAGGCGGGCGCAGTGGGTCTTGGCCAGGCGATGTCCCATGTCCACGAGCTCCGAGCATCCGACGCAGATCTGCGAGATCTGCGCGTGGCAAGTGGTGCAACTTGTAACGATTTCACAATCGTAATCATACCTGCGCGGGTATTCGGTCGTGGCGATCACATTTTACGAATACCGTTCGGAGGGTTTCAGAGGCCGCAATCTTGCACGCCTCGCCAAAATGGGCGCCTAAGCGAGACAACAGTGGCTGCTGTAGCTCGTCATCCAGGTCTTTGTTCTCGACCTGCCCGTTCTCGAAGCGAGAGGTTTCTTGGAGTGTCGGGGGCGTCGTTTTCGGGGCCCTGGTCTTAAGCTCGCGCGTAAGTATCAGATAGTGGCAGTGATCTCGATTATGTCATTGCCATCGCCCATTGCGTGCCGCGCATCATCGCATGGGTCGTGCTTTCGGCCCAGTGACGGTCGCGCTGCGGCATCCACCTTTGCTCGCGCAGTTCAGGTGCCCAACTCTGCTTCGAGGGGGCACGGTCGGGAGGTTTTGTTCGGCGTGTCGCCGCGGCGGCCCCCGTGACACGCTGTGCCCTGCGAGCGGACAGCGTGTCGCTCCGCTCCGCGGGGCGGGGGGCTCGAGGGAGCTCGGGACATTGACGCCTGGGGATCCAGGAATGGATAACGCTTCGCGCCGCAGCGTGGTGGGCCAGAACCAGCGGAGCGACCCGCTATCCTGGACAAGCGTGTTCCACTGCTCGCAAATCCACTGATCGCAAATTGCCTGGAGCCGCCGCGGGGGACTCACGACATATCACACAGAGGAAGACCCGGCTTGTTTTTTCGGACGCTTGCGAAGCAGGCACCCTGGGAGTGGTGGAGCGCGCTCGGCGACAACCACGAATTTCGGGAGCGGCCAAAAGGGGGGTGTCCAAGACGGGGGGGTGCAAATCATGACCGGCGGCATGTGCGCGGCCCAGCGGGGGGGCCAGGGACGTAATGAAGTAAGAAGAGGCGCCATGAAATCTCGGGAAATATCATGGCCCTCGCCATGATATCCACCCCCCCCTAGTCATCACCCCCCTCTTTTCCGCCCCCGAGAATTCCAGACCGCAGCTCGGGACATCGGCCAGGCCCCCGAAGGCCCCGCGGGCATCCCAGCTGCCGGCAGCGGGTCCCCGAGCCGCCCCTCGCCGCGAGCCCGGCGCGCGGCGAGCGGGCGGCGGAGGCGGCGGAGGGCCCGAGCAGGCGGCGGCCGGCGGGAGGCTCTCTCGGGGCGCCTGCGGGCCCTGAAAAGTTCACCGCTGGGGCCTCAGCGTTCGCCTGGGGCCTCAGCATCAGGTCGGGCCTGTCCCCCTATGCAGGGGGGATTTTGGACGACAACTGAAACATGCCTCAGAGACGTTCAAAAGAATTGTCAAAAAACGTAGTCGAAACATCGTCCCCAGGCTATTTTTGGGCAATGTTTGAATATTCCCCCTGTAGAGGACAGGCCCGACTTCACAATTTGCGCCGTCGTGGACGGATGGTTTCAGATTCGGTTTGAGGCTCTTGCCATCAGGAACTTTTGCATCGCGCGTCGCCCCGGCGGCCCCCGCGGCACGCTATATGCCCTGCGAGTGGATAGCGTGCCGCTCCGCACCGCAGGGCGGGAGGCCTGCGAGAGCTCGGGACGTTGACGCCTCGGGACCGCGAAGTGGACAGCGTGCCGCGCTGCAGCGTGGTGGGCCAGAAGAGCGACACGCTATCCAAACGTTCCCCACCGTTTTTTTTTTTTTTTTTTTTTTTTGTTGTTTGTTTTTTTTTTCCCCCACCGCACCCATTGGATGAAGGCTCGAACTCGAAATAGGCCAAATCTAAAAAAACGCCGGCCGGGTTAACGTCACCCCAGACGTTCCCCACCGCACGGGGAGGCCAACGCAGGCGTTCTGAAGCTCATCGGTTCAGCCGTGGCGCGGCGTGACGTGTCACATGTGACTGTCTTGCAGGTCTCCTCCCACCTCGGCCCAGAGCAGATCTCGCGTTCCTCATTGCCCTTGTGGATGTCTGTGGCCAAGAAAGGTGCTGAGGATATGGCTGGTCACGCGGCCAAGCTTCTTCGAAGGGAGGAGCGCGCCCGAGCCCGGCTCACGCAGCTGGAAGAGGGTGCAAGGCAGGGTCGGAAGCGCCTCTTGCGCGCCACTCTGGAGGCGATGGCGGCCGTCCCACTGGGTACGGGCCCCTGGAGCCAAGCCATGCAATGCCCTCCTCACTCCTACATGTCTTGGTAAGGCATATCCAGCGTCTCAGAGATGGGCATTCGCCCAAGGATTTGCCGTGTCAGCGAAGGCTTGCCGAATCGTTTTTGATACGGCGTTGCCGCTTGCTTTCGCATCGCGTTGCGATAGGGTCCATCCCATTCGAGTCCTCCTCCCCCGTCCTATTTTTGCCCGTCCTCCCTCTCGCCCACTTCGCCTCCCCCTCCTCTTTTTGCTCCTCCTCCTCCACCTTCTTCTGCTCCTTCTCCTTCTCCCCGCCCCCTCTGCCTCTCATATATTTTTCCGATTCTTCTTCTTATCCTCCTCCTCCTCTTCCTCCCCTTCCTCCCAGTCCCTCCAGTTGCCCCCTGCCTCGTCGCCGTAGTCGTCTCCTCCTCCGCGGCCTCCCTCCTCCCTCCTCCACCTCCTCCTCCTCCTCCTCCTCCTCCTCCTCCTCCTCCTCCTCCTCCCCTTCCATCATTACCCCCTTCTTGCGCGCATGGTTCATATGACTACGGCTACTTCTTTTCATCATCACGGTCTCGTGACGCTTCTCCTGATCGTTCTCCTCATCCTCCCTTGTGTTTTTTTCGATCCGCCAGCTGGTAATCATGGAACTGTGTCGCGAGCTGGTCAGTCCACGCGCTGCGAATTCGATGGCAACGGGCTTCACCAGTAGATCCACCGCGCGTAAAACATCGGAACATCCATACACCACTGCGCGTAAACAATTTCGAACTAAGACGTGGCGGCCAGGACCTCCATATTTCTGAACGAGTCCTCTGGGCTCCAGGTCCCGCTGTGCTGGGCTGTAGTGGGGCGTGCGCAGCACACAGTCCAACCCAGAAGTACAGTGCTCCTGCCGCTGATGTAGCAAACAGAGGGCCCAGCCTGCCGGCACCATCTCTTGGACACGCGCAGGGGTGTATTCACATCAGCCATGGGAACCACAACGGCATAATAATGAAACTAGCGAGCGGGGCCAGCTGACAGCAGCCAGAAGACGGCAAGCAGCCATCAAAGGACGTGCCAGGCGGATGCGTGGGAGCAGGAAGCGGAGGATGAGGTAGCGTGATCCACCGCCGCTTTACTGTGGAAAATTTCCCCCATCTTCCTCCGGAACCCGGGGTTCCCCCCCCTCCGAACCCCCCCCCCCCCTGCTGACCTCCCCCCCTTTCCCTCGGCAAAACCCCCCCCTCCCCTAACCCCCCCCCCTCCAAAAAACCGGGGGGGATCACTACCGGTTCGACCCCCCCCCCCTCCGGAAAACCGAAGGGGGTCACTGCGGGTTCGAACTCCTCCCCAGAAAACCAGAGAGGGGTCACTACCGGTTCGAACCCCCCCCCTCCAGAAAACAAGGGGGGGATCACTACCGGTTCGAACCCCGGTTCGAACCCCCCCCCCTCGAAAACGGGGGGGGGGGTCACTACCGGTTCGAACCCCCCCCCCCTCGAAAACGGAGGGGGGTCACTACCAGTTCGAACCCCTCCCCCCACCCCCCCCCGCACTCACCGCCAGCAAACAACTCTGGGTCCCTACCACCGTCCGCACCACATCCCCCACTGCTGTCCCCAGCACCACTGTCCTCACCACCACTGTCCCCACTGTTCCCACCACCGTCCCCACTGTCCCCACCAGTGCCCCCACCAGTGTCTCACTGTCCCCACTGTCCCCGCCACTGTTCCCACCACGGTCCCAGTCTCCCCACTTTCCCCACGGTCCCCACCACTGTCCCACTGTCCCCACTGTTCCCACCACTGTCCCTCTGTCCCCGCCGCTGTCCCACTGTGCTGTCCCACCGTCCCCACTGTCCCCATCACTGTCCCACTGTCCCCACTGTCCCCACCACTTGCCCCACTGCACTACTGTCCCACCACTGTCCTCACCACCGCCTTCACCACTGTCCCCACCACTACCGTCCCCACCACTGTCCCACTGTCCCCACCACTGTCCCGCTGTCCCCCTCACCTCAGTCCCCACCACCACCACCGTCCCCACCACTGCCCGTACCACTGTCCCACTGTCCACGCACCACTGTCCTCACCACCACCGTTCCCACCACTGTCCCAGCATCCCCAACATTGTCCAACTGTCCCGAGGAGCGGGAATCGTTTGCTGGCGGCGAGGGGGGGGGGGGGCGATTCGAACCGGTAATGACCCCCCCCAATTTCGAACCGATGGACGGCGGGTGGGGGGGAGGGGTTCGAACCGGTAGCGACCCCCCCCGGTTTTCGAGGAGAGGGGGGGACGGGTTAGGAACCCCCAGTGACCCCCCCCGGTTTTCCGCCAGCAGCGGTGGAACACGCTCTCTCGGAAATGTGGATGCAAGGGGATATACCAAAGACAACTTCATAGACTTATGAACTTACGGGCACGCTTAAGAAGAATGCGAAGGCACGACGAGGAAGGCCCAATCGGCACCGAATCGGCAACTCGGATCGAATCGGAATGCGCGCCGGATCTGGCCGCATCGGCACGGAATCGAGATCGAACCGGATCGGCCGAGCCAAGAACGTCGGGCCGTATCGGACCGCCGGATATCGGACACTGAACGGATCGGGATGGCTGAAATCGATCTCGGATCGGAGCGATCGGATCGGAATGGGCCCTGGGGGACGGGGGGGGAGGAGGAGGAGGAGGAGGAGGAGGAGGAGGAAGAGGACCAGTGTAAAACCACGAGTCATCAACGAGGTTGGAATTAACCCTCCCTCCAAAGTCCCTCTTCATAGGCCCCCACAAAGGTTCATTTCCAGTGAGGAAAGTGCCTCGTTGGAAGACAACCGTTTGAAGATCCTGAAGCATGCCAATACATTGTTCTCGGGATCTCAACGCCACGTGTCAACCTGACTGCTGCGTCTTGACGATTCGGAATCGTGCCAGAGCGCCATTTTTGGGATTGTAACACCGCGATTAAACATAAGTGTTGCACCCACATAATCCTAAATCTTCCAAAACACCATTTCGGGTACGCTGATTATGGGAATCCGTGAAGCTCTTGCAGCTTTTGAAAGCGAATGTGCGCGGCGCTAAGGCGAGAACCACACTTTGAAAACGACCCGCCCTCAATCCGTGAAACTCTTGCAATATCTTAAAGCGAATGTGCGCGGCGCTAAGGCGAGAACCACATTTTGCAAGCCACCCGCCCTCAATCCGTAAAACTCTTGCAAATGTTCAAAATGAGTGTGCGCGGCGCTAAAGCGAAAACCATATTTTGAAAACCACCCGCCCTCAATCCGTGAAGCTCTTCTGAATTCTCAAAACGAATGTGCGCGGCGCTAAAGCGAGAACCACATTTTGAAAACGATCCTCCCTCAATCCGTGAACCTCTTGCAAATGTTTAAAGGGAAAGTGCGCGGCGCTAAGGCGAGAGCCACATTTGAAAAACGACCCGCCCTGTATCTGTAAAACTCCCTGTGCGCCGCCTGCGCTTTCGCTCGCGGCCGCGACCAAAAGAACAAGTATATGTAAATCTGCTTTATTTTCTAAGCTTCAGAGTCATACATGGTGAGGAAGTCTCAGGCGAAACGCCCGGCCCGCCCACAAAACTGGCCTCGGGGTGCGACAGGGAGGAGTTATCTATAAGGAGAAGGAATGGAGGAGGAGGAAGAGGAGGAGGAGGAGGAGGAGGAGGAGGAAGAGGAGGAGGAGGAGGCGGAGGACAAGGAGGAGGAGGAGGACCAGTGTAAACCCAACAATCAAATTTTGAAAAAGAATGTGCGCGGCGCTACAGCGCCAACCGTGAAGCTCTTGCAATTTTTGAAAAAGAATGTGCGCGGCGCTAAGGCGAGAGCCACATTTTGGAAACGACACGCCCTCAATCCGTGAGGCTCTTGCATTTTTTGAAAAACGAGTATGCGCGGCGCTGAGGCGACAGCCACGTTTTGAAAACGACCCGCCTTCCATCTGTGAAACTGTTGTCAATTCTCAAGCTTCACGGCCACAAATGGTGGGGAAGTCTCAGGCGAAACGCCTGGCCCGCCCTAAAACTGGCCTCGGGGTGCGACAGGGAGGATGTATCTATAAGTAGAAGGAATGGAGGGGGACGAGGAGGAGAAGGAGGAGGAAGAGGAGGAAGAGGAGGAGGAAGAGGAGGAGGAGGTGGAGGAGGATGACGAGGAGGAGGAAGAGGAAAGGGAGGGAGAAGAGAAAACTAAAGGAGGAGGAGGAGGAGGACGAGGAGAGGAGGAGAGGAGGAGGAGGAGAGGGGGAGGGAGGAGAGGAGGAGGGGAGGACGAAGAGGAGGAGGAGGGGAGGGGGAGGAGGAGGAGGAGAGAGGAAGGAGCGGCGGAGGAGTAGGCAGGAGGAGGGAGGGAAAGAAGGAGGAGGAGTAGGAGGAGGAGGAGGAAGAGGGGAGGGGGAGGAGGCAGCAGCGAGGTGGAGGATCAGAAGACGCGCCAGGGCGGACCTGGCCTTCGCAGCCCTGGGCGAGCGACCAGGTCGGGCGGCGCGCAGAAGGCGGATGGGGGAGGGGGGGAACGTCTGGCCTCTGGGGTTTGGGCGTTGCCTGTTCTTTCGTTGCCGCGAAAAAAGAACACCAACACGCACTGCCACAATTGTCGAGCAGGCCTCTGGGCCTTCCGGGGGGGAGGTCCACAAGGGCTCCTAAGTTCGCGCTTCGCGCTGCGCGAAGCGCGAAGCGCGAATAACTTCGCGCTCTCGCGCCGCCCCCCCAAAGGGAGAAGAGGAGGACGAGGAGGAGGAGGAGAAGGAGCGAGGACCGCGAAGCGCGAAGCGCGAATAACTTCGCGCCCTCGTGGGAGCCCTTGGGTCCACGACTGGGACGCAACACGAAAGCGGGGGCCCGAAAACAGCGCGGCGACGGACCGCGGCGCGGCGACCTCGACATCCCAAAGAGGCCTCACCGCGCGGCCCGCCACCCCACGGCCCTTGGGACCCTGCAGGCCCTGGTCGCCCGAGACGTCCTCAGAGAACGACCCGAATCTCAAAACCTTGCGGTGACCCCGACTCTCTACTGACTGACCACCCCGGCCCTCCTCCGCATGGCTTGTTTCTGGGCCAGAACTCGAGTCTCCGGCGGCCATTCGGGACGATCCGGGCACCCACGGATCGCTCTCGGCGAGGCGCAGCTGCTGGAGCGCATCCCGAGGTCAGAAAGCCACCAGGAATCAGTGGACACGTCCGAAAACCTCGGACTTCGATCCCGAATCCCCCCTGACTCATCACGCGGTGTGGTCACCACACCGTCTGGGGGCCCCCGAGAAAAGGCCTTGCCAGGATGGACACCAGGAGGGGGTCTCAGCGGCTTCTGGCCAGGGGGTGGGTCCCGCCCCGTCGCGCCTTCCCTTCTTCGGCGCGCCGCAGACGCGGGCGTGACCGCGGCTCCGAGTCCGCTGACTTCTGAGGGTCTACGGCGTGTAGGAGGAAGAGGAGGGGGAAGAAGAGGAGGAAAGGGATAATAGTAGCAACACGTTCATCGACTTCCTGTGATCACGTATGGTCTTGGCATCCACGGGCCCTACGGGGTCGGCGGTATGGCGTAACCCGATGACTCTGATGGTCCCGCCGATTCAGGTCGGGTCACCGAGGCGCCGCTCGAGGCCACATGAGGCTTGGACGAATCCCCCGCGCGGGCTCTCCGAACTATGTTTCGCGCCCTGGAGGCCCCCAGAGGCCCCCTAGAGGCTCCCAGAGGCCCGTATGAGGCCTCAGAACGGCTGGGCTGTACGTGGTCCGGACGTGCCCCCCGCGAAGCGAGAGGAATCTGATGGTCCCGCCGCTTCAGGTCGGGTCACCGTTCTGCGCGCGGGGTCCGCTTCCGGCGCGCCCGAGCTGCGGGGCGCAGTGCGGCGGGGCTTCCTGCCTGCGACAAGGGCAGGAGGACAATGAGGAGGAGGAGGAAGAGGAGGAGGGGGAGGAGGGGGAGGAGGAGGAGGACAATGAGGATGAAGAGGAGGAAGAGGAGGAGGAGGAGGAGGAGGAGATGGAGGAGGGGGAGGAGGAGGAGAAGGATGATGAGGAGGAGGAGGAGGAGGCGGAGGGGGAGGAGGAGGAGGATGAGGATGAGGATGAGGAGGAGGAGGATGAGGAGGACCAGTGTAAACCCAAGAATATTCAGCGCTGTTGGAAGAAGCATTTCTTCCAAGCTGCCTCGTCATATGCCCCTACAAAGGTTCATGTGCACTGAAGGAACTGCCTCGTTGGGGGACAACTGTCTGAAGACCCTGAAGCGTGCCAAAGCATTATTTTCGGGACTCCAACGCCACTAATCAACATCACTGTTGCGTCCTTACGATCCGGAAACGTGCCAGAACACCATTCCTTGGACTTCAACACCGCGAATCAACGTAACTGTTGTGCCCTTACAATCCTGAGTCTGTCCAAAACATCCTAGACGTGAAACACTTGCAAATATTTAAGACGAGTGTGCACGGCGCTGAAACGAGAATCGCATTTCGAAACATACTCGCCCTCAATCTGTGCAACTCTTGCTTTATTTGTTTTACAAATGTGCGCGGCGCTACAGCGAGAGGCACATTTTGAAAACGACCCGCCGTCAATCCTTGAAGCTCTTGCAAACTTGTGCCACGACTTTGCGCGGCGCTAAGGCGAGAACCACATTTTGAAAATGACCTGCCTCAAATCAAACAACGAATGTGCGCGGCGCTAAAACGAAAACCACATTTTGAAAACGACCTACCCTCAATCCGTGGATCTTTTGCAGCTTTTTACAACGAATGTGCGTGACGCACATGCGAGAGCTACATATTGGAAACGGCCCGCCCGCCTTCCATTAGTGAGAGTTTCATCATAGTTCAAGCTTCAGGGTCATAAGCGGTGGGGAAAGTCTAAGACGAAATGCCCAGCCCACCCTTTCGACCAGCCTTGGGGTGCGACAGGGAGAAGCTATTTATAAGGATTATAAGGGAAAGGAATGGAGGAAGAGTAGGCGGAGGAGGAGAAGGAAGTTGAGGATGAAAGAGAAACAGCAGTGGCAGCAGGCTCAGGAGGAAAGGGAGAAGGATAATGCAAATGGTCAGAATCAGCAGCAGCAGGAGCAACAGATGGAATGGCAGACGGAGGACAAAGATGATGATGGTAACGGCGACGACGGTGACGACGTCGATGACGACGGGGATGATCATGATGACGGCGGTGACGGCGACAATGATGAGGATGACTATGAGAAGAATTGTCATGAACTCGACGACGAGGACGAGGAATAACGGGAAAATACATCCCTGCCCGCGATGGGATCCCTCCGCGTTGCGAGCCACCACGGCGGCGCAGACGCCGGCCATGTTTCCCCTCTGCCGTCGCTCTTTTTCCATTCTGCCTCCCCTCCCCGGCCACCTCCTCCCTCCTTCCCTCTCTTTCCCCCCTGCCTTCCCGTTTCTCCTCCTGTCTCCTGTCCCCCCTTTCCCCCTTCTCTCCCCGAAGATGCGAACTGAGCCCGCCCCCTCCGCCTCTCTTCCTCCCCTCCCGTATCCCCCCCTGGCCCCCTTCATCAGCTCGCTACTCCCTTTTCCTTCCCTCTTCCCTCCCTCTCTCTCTGCCTTGAATCCGCGGCCCAGGCGCGGCCCGCCTCAGGTCTCCAGTCCCGCCTTGCTCTCAGGCGCGGCCCCCCACTCTCTCTCTGACCCGCCTTCGGTCTCGAGTTCGCCGTGGCCCAGCGCGTCTGCCGGAGGTTCAAAAACGCATGGCCCGGGGCGTGTCCATCAGCACGCTTCTTCCAACGCCCGGGCTGGGGGCGACAGCCCGCCCGGGGTGCCGGCGACAGGGCGCGCTCCGAGAACCAGCGGCAGGGGGAGTCAAGAGGGTGGGAGGGGACAAGGGGGAGCCAGAAGGCGGAGGAGACTGGCGCACGCGGGGGGAGGTGTGAGCCAGCAGCCCCCCCCCCCGAGGCGCTCCCGCGCTCGCCTGAGGCGAGGAACGGGAAGGGAAGAGGGGAAAAGAGGGGGAGTAGAGGGGGCAGAAAACAAGTGTGGCAGCGCAGCGGCCAGGCGACCTCAAGAATAGCCAAGCAGCCTGGCGCCTGGCATAGCTTAGGTCGGGCATGTCCTCCTACAGGCGGATTGCGGAGGAAAAAAGAATGAAACAATGCTCAAACGTAGTCAGACATATCATATAATCGAATAATCGTCCCCAGACTATTGCTTGCCTATCTTTGAACATTCCTCCTGTAGAGAGACACGCCCGACCCAGCGTAGCCCAGCGGCTCGTGTCGAAGCTGCAGGGCCAGCTGCGCCTGGATGGCGCAGCAGAGGAGCTCCGCGGCGTGGCGGAGCTCCGGATGAGCTCCGCGGGCGTCTTCATCGTCGTCGTCGTCGTCGTCGTCGTCGTCGTCGTCGTCGTCCCTATCCGAGGGTCCTTGTCGTCGCCGTCGTGGTCGGCGCGGCGGCCGCCCGGCAAGTGCCCCGCCACCTGCGCCGGAGGAGCCGCCGTGGGGCCTCGCCGCCCAGACGCCGTGGCGACTCGACTGCGAAAGGCGTGAGGCGGCCACCAGGGGCATCCTCGCCATCGCTCGGACGTCCATTCCCTGGTTTTTTTTCGGTTTCGTGCGTGGTTTTTTCGCCGAATGATCAAGGATGCTCCTCGATGGTTCTCGCCGAGAAAAAGAATGCACACGTCCGAGCGATGCCAGGCATCTGGCGTGCGTGTCCTGCCCCCCCACGCGGGCCGCCTCCGCAGGCCTGCGCGCCGCCCCGTCCACGGCCTGCTCCGCCGTCGGGTGGCCAGCGGAAGGCCACGAGCGTCTGGCGACGCCGCCAAAGCTCCACGCGGGCGGCGGCCCCGCGCGCCCTTGAGGGGAAGGGTACGATCGCTTCCTCTACTTTTTCCCCCCTCGCCCCTCCTTCAGGAGGCGGCTCCCTGCTCCGCCGGCAGGAGCTGCGGCCCCGATGGAAGTGCGGCTGCCCCGGGTGTCGGCCTTCGGGTGCGGCCGAGCACCCTGCTCGGCTCGACTTGGGCTGCCTGCCCCGCGTGGGGCCCTGCTCGCCTCGACGCCGTGCTTTTCCAGCCCCCGAAGCCCCCGAAGCCCCCACCCGCTCCCACAAGGGGCAGCCTGCCCGCCCCAGGTCCGGTCCTGGTGGTCCCGCGGCCCGAGGACGGGCCCCCGCAGCCGAGGCCGAGAGATAAAAGCGCCGGGAGGGCGCGCCTCCGACCGGGGGGCGGCGCGGAGGCCACGGCTGCCCCCGAGCCTCGCCCCGCGGCCTCCCGACCCCCCGCCCGGGGAGCGGCGCTGCCCCGGGGAGGCCCGGCTCGTGGCCCGCGCGGTGGGCCAGCTTCCGCGGCCACCGCGCATCCCGACAGCGAGCCCTGGGCCAGTCGTCTGCTTCCGCCGCGCGGCTCTGTCAGTTGCGCGTGCCCGCCGTCTGACTCCTCCCCCCTCTGCGGCCGCTCTCCCCCTTTCCCGTCGGCTCCAGCGTGGGATCCGCTCGGCCGGGCCTCCGACGCCTCGTGTCTTTTGCGCCGCTGCTCTGGCAACCAGTCCTTCCCCCTTCTTCCCTCTTATCCCCCCCTGCGAGTCTACCCTTCCTCTGCCCTCCCAGCATTTTTCAATTCCCCTCCCCTCTTGATCCAGACATGCTTAGCCTTCACAGCAACCCTCATCCTCTTCTTCCTCCTCCTCCTCCTCCTCCTCCTCCTCCCTCTCTCCTTCCTCCTCTCCCTCCATGCCCCCCCCTCCCATTCTATGATATTATCTTCCCTGCCTCCTCTCTCCGCTCTCTCGTTCTACCCCCTTACTCACCCTCCTCTCTTCCCTTTCTCCATCCTCCCTCCCTCCTCCGTCCTCCTCAGATCCTCCGTCCTCCCCTCTCTCCTCTCTCTTCCATCCTCACTGCATCTTCCTTCTGTCTACTCTCCACTTCCCGCCCTCCCTCACCTCCACAATACATCCTTCACTCCTCCCTCGATCCTCCCTCTATTCTCTTCATTTCCTTCCCTCTCTCCCTTTCTCCCTCTATCCTCACTCCTCGCACCTCCTTCCATCTTTCCCTTCCTCCCCCTCCTATACTCCTCTCCCTCCTCTCCCCCTCTCCCTTCTCTTCCCTTCCCAAGTCGCCGCGCAAAGGCAGCCATTCCAGTAAGTCCTTCCCTTCCCTTCCCTTCCCTTCCCTTCCCTTCCCTTCCCTTCCCTTCCCTTCCCTCCCTCCCTCTCTCCCTCCCTCCCTCCCTCCTGCTGCAGCGACCCCAGCACTCTTCCAACTCCAGGACGAAGTGTCCACTGGGATCGGGCGTGTGAGCGCGTCGAGAGTGCTCTCGCTCCCCCTCGTGGGAGCACGTCAGGTTGCGCAGCCCCCCCTCCTCCTCCTCCTCCTCCTCCTCCTCCTCCTCCCCTCCTCCTCCTCCTCCTCCTCCTCCTCCTCCTCCTCCTCCCCTGTCCCCTGTTCCCCTCCTCCTCCTCCTCCTCCTTCTCTCCTCCTCCTCCTCCTCCTCCTCCTCCTCCATCCTCCGCTCCCTCCTCCTCCCGCCCCGCTCAGCATCTGTGCCGTCCCCAGCCCCTTCGCGCGGCGTCCCCCTCGGCAGGTCGCCCCTCGCGCGCGGCCGACAGGGAGGGCCGGGTCGCAGCGGGCCAGAAGCATCGCGCCATCCCGCAGCGCCTCCTCCTCTGCCTTCTCCCCTCCTCTCCTCTTCTCCTCCTCCTCCTCCTCCTCCTCCTCCTCTTCCTCCTCCTCCTCCTCCTCCTCCTCCTCCTCCTCCTCCTCCTCCTCTTCGCCCTCGGGCATCGCCGTACTCCTGCTCCTCCTCGCCGTCGCCCTCCTTCTCCTCCTCCGCTTCCTCCTGCTCTTTCATCTCGCCCTGCCCTTTTTGTTCTCGGCATCCCCGTCCGCGTCCTCATTGTCGTCCTCCCCCTCCTCGTCCACCTCGTCCTCGACCTCTTCGGTTTCCTGCACCGTATTTTCCTTATCTGACCTCTTCCTCCTCCACCGTCGCCTCCTCCTGCTCCTCCTCATTCTCCTCCTAGCTGTTCCTGAATTGTGTTGTACACGCCCAGTCGTAATTTGTCAGCCGCCATTTCCCCCAGTGGGCTCAACGCGGCGCGGGCGAGGCCCTGAAGCGGGGCCTTTCGCGTTCGTGCCGTGGGCGCGGCCCTCGCTTCCGCGAGCGCGACGCCGCGCGCGTGGGCCATCGTCTGCGCGGGTCTCTCTCTTCCTTCGGTCAGCGTGCGGAGAACTCAACGAAGAGGCTGAGGCCGCCGTCGTGAGGATCGGAACCGGCGAGGTGCTGGACTTCTTCGGCCTCAGCTCTGACGGGGAGCCCGATGAGCTGAGCATGGGGTCCGACGAGGGCCCGAGCGGGGGGGGGGGGCGAGGACACCTACGGGTTCGCTCAGGAGCGGATCGTGGTCATCGGACCCCGACCTCGAAGTCATGGGGGCTGGTCGTAATGGGATCGTATTTGCTATCGCCCGAAGGGGGCAAAACTCAGGCAGTGTGGTGCGATGTTGTTGGTGGAGCGTGTAGGCATGTAGAGAAGTCTTCAGATCAGACTTGGACGTGCGTGGGCCCTAGCCTCAGGGTGCAATTCGTCTCTTTGAAAGAGAAATCTGTGGTTTCTACCCGGCCGACTGCTGATGTCCTTCGACGGCTTGACGGAGAAGAACCGTGGCGTGGCTCTTTCGGCATCGCAGCGCCTGGCCGCCCGTCGTGGACAGGATGCCCAAGCGCGACCGGCGACGCGAAAGTAATGCCTGCTGGAAGTTCGGCAGCAAGAAGAAGAAGAACACTGCCAAGGGGGTCTTGGTCAAGTGGATGTACGCACTTATTTCTAATGCGCTCTGCTTTGGGTGGCTGCGTCGCTCGTGGGGAAGCTTGGCCCGTGGAGCGCTCGTTTGCTGGCGCAGCATCTGGAAGTGCTTTAAGCTGGGTCCAGTGCTCAAGAGCACGTGCGAGGCGGCGATGGCGGCTTCGCGGTCACCTCCACGACGCAATCGTCTTCGTGGCAGTCCGCTTCCAGGAATGTGTGGCCTTGCTTCTTGATCTCTAATTCGCTCGCGCAGTTCGGGACTGCCTAATGATGTCCTCTCCTGCCCCCCTCTACCTCCAACATGATAAACAAATACGACGGTCTGGTCTGGTGAGGGGAGTCCTTGGAGGGGAGGCCTTTGGGCAGTGGCGCCCCGCACACCCGCCCGCCCTGTTGCATGTTGACCTTTTGTGCTTTGGGAAGGCCTTTGGCCACTGGACCTTGTCAGGTTCGGCTGGAAGGGGTCGAACATGTTTGGTGTCCCCTGGGCCTGTCGGTTCGGAACGCCTCAGGGGCTGCCGCTCATGTGGCGAGTTTCGGTGCATCGAGGCACCGCT